AAAAACTCCTCTTCACTGATCCCAAAACATCCCATTGAACTATGTGTTCACTCTTAAAGGAAGAATCTAAAAAAAAAGGTTAAATCATTCTATCTCCCAAAGCTTGTTATGAATCCTACCCAAACTCAATAATTTCTCAAGCTGTTTTCCTTGTGATGGTACTCAGTATCCTCTAGCAAAGGTAGCAAAGGTAGTAAAGGTAGTGGGATATGACCATCTGTCCTCTAAAAAATAAAGCTTGGTCTCCAACCCTGTAGAGATTGAAATTTTAAAGATGATAAAAGCAGTCGTTACTAACCAAAATGGATCAAGGCAGTTGAAGAGGATATGAAAGCAATTGCAAAAAATGAAACATGCAAGGTTTTTAAAAAACTGATGCAATCCCTATGGCATGGAAAAGATTCTTCACTAAAAAATATCAATTACATGGATGCATACAGAGATATAAGGCACAGTCAATTGCAAAATCATTTATCTAAACTTATGGGGCCGACTATTCTAAAACCCCTGCACCAATGGTGGAACTTCACACCATTCAGATCCTCCTGCAATAGCAATCAACCTTGACTTGCCACTACACAAACTAGATGTTAAGAATACATCCTTGAATGTAAACTTAAATATGAAAGTTTACACGAACCCTCTCAAAAAACCAATGAGTCTGTGAAGATAAACTTAATTGCGCGGTAAGCCCGCCATACTAATGTGTATGTTGATGACAGCAATGTTACAGGTGGTCACAATTTGGAGATAAGTACTTCGTAGAAAAAACAGTGTGTGGGTTCAAAATCAAAGACCTCATGCATCTTAGATATTTTCTCAAAATGGAAATCTATAAAATAAATTCAACCTTATGAACTCAGAAAAAACTATATTTTAGATCTGTTAAAAGAAACTAGTTTAACTGAAAGCAAACCGCTTAAAACTCTAACTAATTCTAAAATTAATGGGTAATGTTAGTACCAATTTTCCAGTCAATAAAGGAAGATAGCAAAAACTTGGAAGAAAAAAATTCATCTATTTGGCTCTTACAAGACTAAGCATAGCATTGTTATCAGTTTGATAGCTCATTTTACTATACCCTTTATAAAGAATATATGAATAAAATTACTGTTTTTCTCAATACCTAAAAGAAAACCCCAAAAAGAGACTTTTTTTAAAAAAGAATAATCCAAAATTATAGGAGCCTGTAATGGATTTGACAAAGTTTAGGTTTATAGTAAACCGAAGATCCAGTAAATAGTGTCACAGCAACACGGAGAAGACGGCCGAAGGCGAAATCAAAAGGAACGGAAGTTTCACGTGTCGCTAGGCCGTCAAAAAACTTCGTTGAATAAGTTCTTCGATTCGTTTGAGAATAATTTTTTTTCTTTTTGGTTAGCTAAACAAATTAAATACAAATAGTAATGTTTCCTGCGAATCGTTATTATTCGAAACATAAAATAATTTAAAATAATTATATATAAAAGATTTATGATATTTTAATAAATTAAATTTTATAAATTATAATATATGATAAAATGATAATAATAATATATTAATAAGCTATATTACTAATATATTAATATAGATATTATATATTTATATAATATAAGTTATATAATTAGTATAATATATTATTTATATATATTAATAATAGTAAAGTCAAACTGGCTCGTCGTTCGCGAACAGCTGGTATTCGGCTCGTTCGTTAAGAAACGAACACAAACAGTGACTTCACAAACAATTTCGACCACGAGCTTATTTCAAATAAACTAAATTTCAAATGAACCGAACAGGAACATAAGCTCTGTTCATTCATGTTTGGTTCGTTCACACCCCTACGTGTCGCGGTTGTTGGATGATAGTTGTACGGGTTATTAAAATACCACCAGTGTCCCCTCGAAGAAAAGTATAAATTTTTAGAAAGTATACATACCAAATTTAGGTGTATTTACTTACATACCGCATTATCATGCATGCAATATTTAACTATTTAAAAGTTAAAATGGTGGTATTTTTTATGTTATAAATGTAAAAAAGTAAAATTTTGTATTATATATGTAGGAAAAACTTGTAACCTAGAGAAGCAAAAAATAAAATGTTGTGGCAGGAAATAGTGCAAAAACAGAACTATGATCATTGGCCAATAGAGTTAGTGTATTAATCTGGCTTAAACTACACTTAAAAGAACATCAGGTAACAATCAAGACTTCTATGATATTATATTGTGAAAATAAAATTTCAATCAGTATAACTCACAATCAATCCATCATGATGTAACCAAACATAAGGAGATAGCTCAATACTTCATTAAAGAGAAAATCCAAAACAAAAAAAGATAATTGTTTAACTGATTCCCGAGTCCCATCACTCATTTTGATAAAAGGATTTTCTCAGCCCCTATTTAAGAAAATGATTGACAAGCTGATATGTTGGATGCATACAAACCCACTTGACAAAGTGTTGAATATTTATTTTCTTTCCATAGATTTGAAAAGAAGCGCCGCATTACCATAATAGTCTGTTTTTACTGAAGGCTGCGTATCGTTGGGCCTCCCAAGAGCAAAATTTTGGCTATTTGCAGCTGCTGAGTAGCCATGCTTGGCAAGACAACTGGACAAATGCTAAAGATTGCAGGTAGGCCCTCAGGTTGTGTTTTGGAGGCCAGACAACGCCTGTATCTGACTTGGTTGCTTCGAATATTGCAAATTTGGTAGACAGCACTCATTATGTTGTTTATTATTTCTCTCCTAGAAACTTATCATCTAAAATTAATGGTTTTTAAAAAGAATTGCTGCTATACTTTTTCATTTTTTTTCTTTCTAGGGTGTGATTTAATTCTTTCTATTTTTATGCATTATAAAATTCGATGAATGTCTCATGCTTTAGCCAAATAAACACAGAAAAGTGCTCTGCTTTTTTTTTTCTCTCTTTCTCTCCTACTTCATACACTATATCAAAAACAATACAAACATCATCAAGCAGACACTACATCTATGAAAGAAACAACTACCATAAACTTAGAATGACTAAAACAAAAATAAATAGAGAAACTCCACTTCTTTCTAGAAATTGATAAAATAATAGATATATGATCTATGACTCAATCATGTAAGCAATTCACCTTATATCTCACTTCTGCTTCTAGAACTAGTTCAAGCAAAATCTTGATAATAAACTTTAAAGCGAGTGATCAAGCGGCAACTCTTCCACCAAAATTCTCTGCTATGTTCTGGCCAACAGACCATAAAAGAAAAGTAGTTAACCAAACCATTGTCACTATTGCTGGAAAGAGATCAATCAAATTCACACATTCAAGCACTAACATTTGACTTAAACTGTATTATAATAATTTATCCCAGTCATTAACTATTTCAGTTCTCTATTCTAGAATCAGACCACAAATAATATGATTAAGCATAACAAAAAATAAGAGAAGCTCCACTATCCATAGAGAAGTAGTAATAATCACCTATCCCAATCTTATTTATTTGAAAATTTGAATACAAAAATGTAACAAACTCAACTCCGCCATCTTTAGATAGGTCATCCACCTTAACAAAATCCATATTTAATAAAATAGAAGCCAAAGAGTTCAAATGTGAGGAGGGCCAAATGGTTAAGCGCAAAAGAATTCCCTACCCTCAAGCTGCTCAAAAAAAATTAGATGTTATCCCTAATCCACATGGATGTCTAGGGATCATCAGACATCACTAATACAACTGGGCCTAGAGGGCATGTTGCTTATATAGATTACTATTCACACACGACCTAATTTTTTTTCTCATTTAAAGATACATCTAATGTGAGTAAAATCTTCCTCATGTTCCATAGACCGATCCTCACCTGATTTGAAACCAATATTAAACATATTAGGTTAGATAATAGTTTGAAATATTTTAATCAAGCCTTATATTATTTTTTCCAGAAAAATGACATTATCCATGATCATCGTTTGCCAACGCCCCACAAAAAAAGTAGAATGTGGAGTGAAAAACAACTACCATCTTTTGAAACCACTAGTACCCTACATGTTCCAAAAAAAAATTTGGGGGTGCCACTTTAATTACTATATTACTACTAAATTGCCTCTCTGATGGAATTTAACATTACTAAACATTTTGTGAAATCCAAATTGAATTTTTACCCGGCATACAACATTCACTGCTACAACTTTAAAACTCGGGGGTATTGCATATGTCCATCAACACTATCAAGGTACTATATCAAAGATCAATAAGATGCATCTTCATTTGAAACTCCTCACTCAAAAAGTGTATACGGGTTACCATCCCAATATTAAAAAATTCTTCATCTCTTAGGATGTTACCTCCACTGAACTCAATTTTTCCATGACTAGGATGGTCTCTAGCAGATGCATACTTATCTCACAACCGTCTAATGACACCCAAGAAAAAAAAAAACTCTAAGTTACTTCAAGACTTCCCAACAGATGAAAGTAACCACCTTAGCCAACGACTCCATCAAAATCTTTATTAATGATCCAAAATCATTACAAGATTACTTGAGAAAAAGAATCAACATTGAACCAAAGCATGCTTAGCCATTTGAATACGTGCAAGATCAGTCACCAAGTAACAAAAATGATAAAAAATATGATCTCGAACTCTGGAAATCAATAACATCATTATATCAGTATTTATATCGCATTAAAAAAGGAATCCCAAATATGCGTCTAACATCTAATGGTCAATTTTATTTCCATTTTTAATATTTTCTTCCGCAACTTTTTTTTATAAGAGAACCAATATCAAGATTCCGGAAAACACTTGAGAATAAACAATAGAAAAAGGACATGATTAAAGAAATGAGGGCCCTAAAAGAGAACCATGCATGGAAGATAATAGAATTGCCAAAAGAATGCATTTCATAAGAGGCGAGTGAAAAGACATTAACAAACAAAATGCAAGGGGGACATTTTAAAGGTATAAAGCTGGACTTAAAGAAAAAAGGCTACAATTATCAGTATGAAGAAAATTATATAAAAACTTTTGTACCAAATGCATCGTTAAACACTATCCAGATACTTCGATCCTTGATGAAAAACTTCAGCTGGTCCTTATAACAATTTGATGTAAAAAATAGTTTCCTACAAAGCAAAATAGAAGAAGCAGCCTTTATAGAGCCTCAATCAAATTTTAATCATGATTTCACATCAAACACGTATGTCAGGTAGAAGAAAGCTCTATATGAGCTCAAATAATCCCCAAGAGCAAGTATTGTGAGGCTTAAAAGTCATGGAAAGGATGAAATTTGAGTAAAACCATGGGAACCACACTCTATCCGTAAAAAAAACCTTACAAAAGAACAAATTATAGTTTCCATAGTGTATGTGGAAGAGCAAGATCTTGATAGGAGATGACTAGAAAAAACAAAAAAAAGACTAAGAGATTAACCATCCAAAAAGTTAAAAGTTAATATCTCGAAAGACAAGTTTATTTCCTAAGAAATAAAGTGGCCCATCTAAAGGCTAGGATATTCTCAACAAAAATACACTCTTGCTCTATTAAATGAAACAAATAAGATGAGATGCAAGACTTCAAAAATTCCAATTGATCGCTGCTACAAACTTGGGCAGGCAAGTGACACCTAAAAGTTGACAAGGGAAGATGTCAAAAACTAATTTAAAATAATATCCACCTTGCGCAAACAAAGCCAAACATAGCCCATGTTCTATGTTCTAAGTGAATTGATGCATAATCCTAAAAAACATGTCTACAGACAGCATATAAAACTCTTCGTTACCACAAAGCAACACAGGCAAAATGAATAAAAAGACTTAATTTAGAAGCATTCATTGATGTTGATTGAGCAAGGTCCCATTTAGAATAGAAAATTACTCCAAGCTACTGCACCTCCGTAGGTAAAAAAATATAATCACTTGCAGAAGAATGAAGTAACCGGAGACCAACAAATCTAGCGACAAAGCTAAATTTCGAAATATGACACAAAGAATCTATGAACTACCACAGATCAAATTTACCCTGGATGAATTAAGAATAAAATGTAAAGATACTGATAAATTATATTGTAACAACAAATTAGCTATCAACATCTCACATAATTAAGTCCTACATAACCAAACTAAGCACATAAAAATAAATAACTCCAAAGAAAAATTAGAATATCTTCCTTTATCTCGAATGTAAACAATAATTTCCATAAGTACAATTTACTAATTGTAATCTAGACTTCTGTTGTATAAATAAAAAGAAAAAAACTCTTGGTGAAATATACACAAAATTAAAATCATTTTTCCTCTCTCCACAATATATTGAAATAGTTATACAACACTAAAGCTTTAAGATTGTTGAGCCAAACTGTAGATTATATCAAGCTTATAAGTAGGAAACAATCAATTAAATACTAAAATCAATGTATCCTCCCATTGCCATCTCATCTACTAAAGTAATTAACAATTGATTACATCCATACTAAATCCTATACAAACAACATTTTTTTATGTTGTATTCCTTTGTTTTTCATGTTTTATTATGTTCTTATTACCTAATGACATAATAATAACATTAACAAATACATTAACAAAAAAGTCTTTATCCCACTAGGTGGGGGTCTGCATGAATAATTTTTCTGCATTGTGTCATATTGAGTGTCATATTTTAATTTAATTCTAATAAATTAATAACATTTGTTATACAACAAGCCCAAGTCCTTTTAGGCTACCTTTACCTTGATTAACATAAGTCAAATCTAAAACATCTACTCTCCTAACAGGGTCATCAAATGGTAAACATTTAATGTGACCAAACCGTCTAGGCAACTCTCTCTACTATTGTCTGCCACTAAAGCTACACCAACCATTTCAGGGTATATTTGTTTCGCATTTTGTCTCTAAGCATAAAGCCACTCATCCACCAGAGCATTTTCAACTTAGCAACACTTAATTTTATGTTTCCCTTTTATAGGCCAGCATTCTGCGTCATAAAGCATGACAGGTCTCGCCGCCATCTTATAAAATTTTACTTTAAAGTCTAAGCGGTACTTTTCTATCATACAATAGGCCCAATACATTCCTCCACTTCAATCATCCAGTTTGAATTCTACTAACAACATCCCCATCTCTATCACCATCACTTTGACTTGATCACCATTTGTTACAATCCCCACTAGATTCCATATATTCAATTTTAGATCTACTCAAACAAAAGTTTTTAAACTCTACAGTTGACCTACATGAATCAAGTTTTTCTTGAACTCTCTCTAGTCTTATCCACAAGAAGAATATCATCAACGAAAATCATATAGCAAAGTAGATCTTCTTGTAAATGTCTAGCAAGAACATCCATAACCAAAACGAAAAGATATTGGCCTAAAGTCGATACATTATGTAATCCAACATAAATAGGAAAATATTTGGTCAATCCTCCTTGTATTTGAATACAAGTAACAGCTCTAGTATACATATCTCTAATGAATTGAATATAAGCAATATCAACACTTTTCTTTTCTAGAACTCTCCAAAGCACTCTCTTGGAATTTTCCAAATAAGGTTTTTCCAAATTAACAAAAATCATATGTATCTCCTTACTCTCTTTGTACTTCTCCATCAAATCTCTCAATAAATATATAGTTTTCATAAAAGACTTGTCCAACATGAATCCAACTAGATTTAGAGAAATTTTTGTATCACGTATGTTCAATTACTCTCTCCCATAACTTTAATGTATAACACATTAACTTAATTCGTCTATAATTTGTGCACTCGTGAGCATCCATCCACTTTATTCTTAAAACTAAGAACCAATAGACTCTTTCACCACTCACAAGACATCTTTTTTAGTATTTAAAATAATATTGAAAAATTTAGTAAGCCAAAAAATTCTTAAACCTCCTAAGTATTTCCACACTTCTATTGGAATATTATTAAATCCTACTGTTTTTCCACACTTCATTTCATTAAAGCATCATCAACTTCAGTTTTACAAATAAGGTAGTGAAAATAAATAAATACACTTATTATTTACGATATTAAATTAGCTAAACTCGATCGTATTTTCACAATTTTTATCGAAAATTAAATATCTCACCCACCTATATTGAATATCATCTAAAAATAGTATTTTTTTTTTATTTTCATCTTTAATACACTTTTTTATTATTTTTCTTATCTCTTTGTTTGGCTAGTTTATACATATATTTTTCACTCTCTGTAGTATTTTATCTATTATAAAAATAATTAAAAGGAAAGTGCTTAGCATCATAAATTATTCTCTTAGACTCCCTACAAGACCATTTTATATTTTTCACAATTCTCTAAGTTTTTACATCTAAGGTAACTTTTATAATATTTTTTTTTTATTTTTATCTTTTCTCGCACATTATTACTCCACCACAAACCATTTTTATTCATAAGAGTTATTTCTTTTTTTAATTCTCCAAACACATCTTTTGTAACTTTTGTAACAATATCGTTACTTTATCCCACATAGTATGAGTTTCTTCATGAACATCTCAAATTATAAAATCTTAAAGTTTACTCATAAAAATAATATTGTGTTTTAAGTGTGTCAAATTAATTCTATGATAATATTTCATATTATTTTTCATCTTCCAACCCTTCATCTTAAAATTCAAAACCAATAAATGATTTTGGTAACTTAAAATTTCACTTGGAATGATCTTACAATATTTACGATCCAGTGGTCTATTTTTCTTGTAACAACCAGTTTTATAAAATGAAGAAAAAAATTTAAGCTCTGTTTGGGATCACTTTTTGTTTTCTAATTTAATTTTATTTTTAGTATGTTTGGTTTTTGTTTTGTTTCTGTTTTTTTATTTTAGAAAATGCGTTTTGGTACTATTATGATTTATCTGTTTTTTAAGTAAAAAATATAAAACATATTTAGTTAGGTATTTTCTATTTTTTTAAACAAAAAAACAATACTTTAAAAAAAAAGAAGATAGGATAAAATTTGTATCTCTTACCCTATATGAGGATCACGAAATGAGCCAATATATCTTTAAATCCGAAGATATTTACATATTTTATGTTGTTTACACGAGACAACAAGCTTGAGGCGAGCATGTGGAAATCCGTCATCGGGCTACTCTGATAATTCAGCTAAATTAATCATATGTTAAATTAATAAGAATAATTCAATTAACAAACTTGCTTGAATTTTGAAGTTTAATATTATGTTATGTAGATTATTAAGATCAACATAAAAATTATAGCAACTTCCAGCTAGTTATAAAAAATTAAAAATATAATGTGGCAACTAAGGTAAGTAATTATATTTCTAAATTTTAATAATATTCTTTATTTCAAAATGTATATTTGACTCCATAGATGCTCAGGTTTAATTAAATCTTTCATATTTTTAAACAGAAAAGATATGCATGATAAACACATTAGGAAAAGATGTGCATGACATCAGAGATATGCATGGATAAAAGTACGAATGATATGAATGTTAAGCATGATATAAGAGATATGCATGAGATGAGAGATGAATGAAATGAGAAATACGTATGCTGGATAGTTGCATAGCATAGTAAGTATGCATGTTAGTATATGAATGAAGATATCTCAGAAGAATGCATGTTATGAAGAACGAAATAACTTACATGTGAGTGCTTGTATGTGCATATTAAAAAAAAGAAGTTCACCCATAATAGTACAGGCAGGGGGCGCTAATGTACATACACAGGTAGTTCACTATACTACCTCAAACAATTGTGATGTTTAGATCATTAACCGCTAAGTCGACGAGAGAATATCGGTCGGGGGCAAATAAACAGAGTTCACCACCTTAGATAATTGTGATGTTTAGATCACTAACCGTTGTTCTGACAAGAGAAAAGCAGTCAGCGGTGAGTGGGGACATTTTCACCCGAAACAATTGTGATATTTAAATCACTAACCGCTGTGTCAACCGGATAATATCGGTCAGAATGTGATAGATTTTGTTGACGGTGATACTCAGATAAATGTGAATGTAGAAAGTATAAAATAAAAGTTAAAATAAATGCATATAGAAGATTTTACTATTTTCATTGAGTAAGGTCATTAATATATTCAAAGACTTCTTATAGAAATATGAAAGATTAACATATTCTAAAATTTCT